ATACCTGTTGGCCCTTTGTATACCTTCTTTGGAAAAATACCTATTCAGATTCTTTGTCCATTTTTAAATTGGGTTGTCTGTTTTACTATTGACTTGTATGAGTTCCTGATTTATTTTAGATATTAACACCTTATCAAATATATGGTTTTCAAATATTTTCTTCCATCCCATAGGTTGCCATGCCATAGAATGCCTTTTTATTTTTTGATAGTTTCCTCTGCTTTGCAGATAATTTTTAATTTGACATAATGCCACTTGTTTATTTATGCTTTGCTTGCCTGAGCTTTTGGTGTCATGTCCAAAAAATCATTGCCAAGCTCAATCACAGGGAGACTTTTCCCTACATTTTTTTCATTATATTTTTATGGCTTAAGGTCCTACGTTTAAGTCTTTAATCCATTTGAGTTGATTTTTGTGTGTAGTGTAAAAGAAGGGTCCATAAATTCCTTGATTTAAAACAAGATCCTTCCTTTCCTCCTTTCTTTGCTTCTTCTTTCCTTCATTTCCATCCTTCCCTCCAACCTTTCCTCCATTTCTTTCTTCCCTCCATTCCTTCTTTCCTTTCTTCCTAATTTAGTAGACAAACCATTAGATAAAGATGTGAAAAACTATCATCCTCACAGTTATAGGAACAGCAACCTGGCAGGGGCTTCCAGAATTTGAGTGAGGTAAGGAGAGTGTCTGGGAGAGCTGGTGCACTGGTGGCAGCCTGGCACTGAGCAGTGGAGCATGCCCAATTTGGGGAAGATATCTGACAGGGGAAGTGGGTAGTGGCAATCTGGTGTGGAATATTAGAGACTGGGTTGGGTGAAGATGTCTTCCATGTGAGAGAATGACAAAATTAGTTGCTGTTACAAGGTACTGAGGAACCTAGCAGATTGAGGAGTTTGTCTACAGCAGTCATGGAGGATGAGGAGGGTGGATAGGAGAATGATGATGGCTATAATAAGAGTTGGGTACATTATGAAAGGAAATAATCAATTATATACACTGAGAATAACTGAGTCAGATTTTTGCTGAGGGAGAAGGAAGTTACAAATGTGGAAAAAGGGAAAACTAGAATAGACTCTGCAATGTTGGATTGGAAATGGAAATATTAATGTGAATTCATAGTTTTCAACTGATAGATCATAGATAGATATGGATGTAGATATATAGACAGATAATATAATTATATTAATTTAAATATATATATATATATATATATATATATCCTAGCTCTGTCCTGAGACAGTCTGAACGCAGAAATACCCCACTGGCAATAAGCATATCTTTCGCTCAGCTCTTGCTTTATAAATACCATTCTCCACTAAAAGAAACCAGGGTACCTTGGAGAAATTTCTGATTCTTCGGCTGGGGAAGAGAAGAAAGAGAAGGAATATTTTGTTGTACCATAACATAAGGAAATGTTCCATAAATGATGAAACCAAATGTCAAAAGGATACATGAACCAGCGTGAGACTCCTCCTAGTCTAATCTGGGATATCTAAACATCAAAATAAATAGTAACTGATTATAACCAATTGAATAAAAGAAATCCACAAGTACATGCAAATATCAATGAATGAATGAGAAATGAAAGATTTTAATAGTCAAATGCCAATTAATAAATACAGAAAGAACTACCATCACAGTAATAGTAACCTTGGCAAAAATATCAATGCATGTCAAACATTCGGGTGAAAGTTAGATGATATACAGGAATTTTACATAGATTTGGTGAACGTCTGCACAAAACAATTAGAAAGATAAAGAGAAAATCTTTACAATGGGGAAACCTGGAGGAAACTACCTTAATCAAGCAGTTATGTTTAATATCACCAGGAATGTCACAAACTGAATTTGCTTATAACTTGCTTATAATTTGCTGAGGTACAATGAGAATATTGCTATATCTTTGTTTTCTGATATTCCTGACAATATTTAAATTAAATCTAGACATGAAGAAAAATCAGACAAACCTAAATTGAGAAGCATACTACAAAACAACTGGCCTGTAATTTCTAAAAGTTAAGTCATGCAAACCAAGTAAAGATGAAGGAATGGATCCAAGGTGAACCGGACTAAACAGACTACGCGTCAACTAAATAGAACTGGATCCTTTTCTATAAGGGGTATCATTGGAAAACGGTGAAAGTTTAATGAAGTCTATGGATTAAGTGGTAGAAATGTATCTATTTTAAATTCCTAATTTTGATGGCTATATTTTAGTTAGGTAGAATGATGTCGTTGTGAGAAATTCATATGTAGGAGGTGACAGGGCATCAAGTCAGAATCTTAACATAAAATGATTTAGGAAAAAGAAAAATAAAAAAGCTCTTGGTACTTTTCTGTCAACTTTTGTAAGTTTTGAATTATTTTTAAATAAAAATTTAAATATACCCACAGAAGTATGGATAAAATTGGGGAAATCTGAAGAAGAGCAATAAATTGTATCAACATCATAAACCGGCTGTAATATTGTACTATAGTTTAGCAAAATGTTTCCACTGAGGGAAACTGGTTAAAGGTTATGTGGAAATTTCTTATCCTTTTTTTTTTAACAACTCCATGGGAATCTACAATTATCTCAAAATTTTTAGTTATGAGAAAATTAGATTAAGGGGAAGTAGTACTGAGCATAGCCTCTCGTTCAATCTTTGTAACAGCCATGACATTGGTATTGTATTCATTACACAGATTAAGAAAGTGAGGAATTTATTTATTTTTATTTTTTTAATGTTTTATTTATTTTTAAGACAGAGAGAGACAGAGCATGAGTGGGGATGGGGCAGAGAGAGAGGGAGACACAGAATCTGAAGCAGCTTCCAGGCTCTGAGCTGTCAGCACAGAGCCCGACGCGGGGCTCGAACTCACGAACTGTGAGATCATGACCTGAGCTGAAGTCCGATGGTTAACTTACTGAGCTATCTGGATGCCCCCACCTTTTTTAATTTTTTTAAATGTTTTATTTATTTTTAAGACAGAGAGAAGTGAGGAATTTAAATAAAAACTTTAAAAAAGAAAATAAAGTGAGAGAGTTCAAATACTGCTTAAGAGTCAACTGTTAGTAAATAGAAGACATGGAATTGGATTAGAATTTTGTCTGGTTTTACAGTTGGAAGAAAATCTTGCTAAAAAAAAAATCTAAAAGAAAGATTCCAAATATACTCAATCACTGTTATTAACGGAAACTAATAAATGCACATTTTTTATTACGTGGATTTAAAATTAAAAAAAAATAAAAGAACGAAACTAAATTCTCTGGTCAGACCACGGGGGTACATAATTTTGATTACTAAGATCCCAGAGTACTCAAAGTTCAATATAAACCTGCTAATAACACTTTCACAATTCAGCTAAAAGGAGAGTAGTAACACCCTAAATGCAGTCCAAAGTGCAGGAGAAATTCTGTCTTTGGTATTTTCATGGCAGAAATTACAATTTATAACCGAACAGTTAACAGTAAATATGAAAGCACAGGTTTTCGAGTAGAAGAATGGACACAAGATGTAGGGGAGAGTATGTGGATTATCTAAGAAGATTTTATCCTCTGAAATTAGCAAATGTTTAGTGTTGTATGCATAGGATATGTTCTCTAAGGGAAGACAGATTCTTCTATAAAAAAAAAATCACACCACAAGGCAAATAAACTCACTGCTGGTTGTCCTTTCTCTGAAAACAAGGCTTCTGCTCTATGACTAGAACTCCAGCTGTAGTGCATAGAAACATCACTTACAGAGCGAAGCATGGGGTACACTCTAGATGAACAATGGCTGCAAAGTGGAGAAAAATTGCATATACATATGTGGGAGCATACTGGAAAGCCAATTATTATTTAGTATTAATAACATTATTAAAAATAGAAATTGGAAAGATATAAATTGCTCACAGAGAACATATTTCTGACTTTCTCTGGTCCCAACAATGAAGAAAAAAAAAAGATTGTAACATCTGAATCTATGCAGGAAGGTTCAAGAATGCAATCATCTTTCTTCTCCCAATCTGACATAAAGCTTAGTATATTATTCACTGAAAAATATGCTTCAAAGATGAAGACACATAATAATAGCAAATATTAGGTAGCCTTCTCTAAGTTTTCCAAAGTTACCAGTTGGCAAAACTGACCTAGGTAAAAACTGAAAGAACAGCTTGGATATACTTACACTGATATTTTATTTTATATATTTTTTATTTATTTATTTTGAGAGAGAGAGAGAGAGAGAGAGAGAGAGAGAGAGAGAGCAAATGGGGGGGGGGGGAGGCAGAGGGAGGGAGAGAATCTTAAGCAAGCTCCTCACCCAGCACAGAGCTTGATGTGGGCTCGTGGGTCATGACCTGAGCTGCAATCGAGAGTTGGACACTTAACTGACTGAGCCACCCAGGCGCCCCTTTACTGATATTTTTAAAAAGCTGTATCTTTATGTATTTTGTAGGCTGCAACTCAAGAATTTAAAAAAAAACTATCTTATGGGAAGTATATTTCAAATGTCTACATTTGTCTACCAGGTGTATGGAGATAGCTGGGCTAAGACCTCATATTAACCTCTAGACTTCCTGTAAGAATGATTAACTGAGAGATTTAAAGCAATGCTCCTTTTCTAGTCTTTTAAAACACCAAGAGTGCTTAAAGAGCTATACTTAGTGTCTACTAGAATTATTATCTAGTGCATTTAAATAATGTGCATTTAAATGAATAATATACAATTTAGGTCAGATTTTTTTTTACGTTAAGTGTGATTAAATACATTTTTCCCTAATCTTCAATTATTATTCATGCAGGTTTTCTCTCATTCTTGAGGAAAATTAGCTCATCCCTAGTCTTTACTCAGTCATACTGATTTTATGGTACTTATCACTGGCTCCTCATGTGGGAGTTAAAATACCTTATTCAAGTATCAAAAATTTTATAGCCTTTTTCTCTATCTTCTGTAGACTTCTATTTCCCCTTATTATCCCTCTGTTAAGAGAGACATAATTAATTTCCTCTTGAAAACTATCAGTACAAAGTTATAAGTTACCTTTCAAGTTTCAAGTTTTCACTCTGCTTGTCCACTTCCTTATATTCCAATAGAAATTATGTATCTGAGCAATAAAATGGTCTGGAAAAATGATGAAAGTCTTTTTAAATTTTCAAATAAATGTTATCTGCACATGTACTTTAAATTTTTTTCTCTAGGTGACTTTCCCAATCAGGTATTTTACAATATTGTGTTTTACCTCCTTTCCCCTTACTCAAGTCTAAATGTTTCTTAATAAACTAGAGCACACTAACAAACTATTTAAATGTTGGGGCACCAGGGTGGTTCAGTCAGTTGGGAGTCCAACTTTGGCTCAGGTCATGATCTCATGGTTCGTGGGTTCAAGCCCCACATCGGCCTCTGTGCTGACCGTTCAGAGCCTGGAGCCTGCTTCAGATTCTGTGTTGCCCCCTCTCTCTCCCCAGCTTGTGTGCTCGCTCGCTCTCTTTCTCTCTCTCTCTCTCTCAAAAATAAACATTAAAAAAAGAAACTATTTGAATATCTTTAATTGTTTTTTCAAGAAAAGGGGGAAAGCAAAATACTGGACACAAACTGAGAGATGCGGCTCAGTTAGTTAACAGGCATTTTTACACATATGTTCAGAAAATATTTTTCAGACTTCAAATGTTGACCATACTTTCTCCCACATGTATATCTTCAGGGTGAGTTAAAATGCTAATATTACGTAGTCTGGTCATTGAACAATGTCCTATTTCGACCCTGCCCTTGGAGAGCCCCAGGTCATCAGGCAACAATGAAAGAATTTGAAAGATTATCTGACATCATACATTTTTTTTTTAATTTTTAAAAGTTTATTTTACTTATTTTTGAGAGAGAGAGAGAGAAAGAGAGGAAGCAAGGGGTTGAGAGAAAGAGAGACAGAGACAGAGACAGAGACAGAATCACAAGCAGGGTGCAAGCTGTCAATGCAGAGCCTGATGCGTGACTCAAACGCAAGAACCATGGGATCATGACCTGAGCCAAAAACAAGAGTTGGACAATTAACCAACTGAGCCAACCAGGTATCCCTGAGATCATACATTAAAAATTTTTTTTTCCTTTGCTTTTGAGGCCTCTTTCCTTACAGAAAATTTAGAAAAGTCGGGTTGGAGTAGAAGTACTGTGAAGGAAAAGCCTAGAGTTGTTAGCTCTGCTTTAGGCTTTAAGGAAAAGAACAGGTGCAGTTCTTAAGGCTTCCACAGCTGGCCAGCTGAACGAACATTTGGCAAACAGGATTGTGGCAGGAGCCCAGCCAGGAACAAATAGTTGTATTTGTAGGGGCATATTCTTTATCCTCTCTTTTGGGAACTTAAGAGTAATCAACAGGTAAGGGGATAGGTCTGTAAGTCCAGTGAAGGCAAGAGCACAGCTTCTGGTGGAGCTAGCAGAATGGGACTCCCAAATCCGGAAAATGGTGGACAGCATTCCATACCTAGTGTCATTAGTTGTTTTGAAAACAGCAAGTGCCTTGACTAATAAAAAATCCTGGTATGCCTGGGTGGCTCTGTTGGTTAAGCATCTGACTCTTGATTTCGGCTCAGGTCACGATCTCACAGTTTGTGGGGTCAGGCCCCGTGTTGGGCTCTGTGCTGACAGCACGGAGCCTGCCTGGCATTCTTTCTCTCCCTCTCTCTCTGCCCTGCCCTCCCCTCCTCTCTTCTCTTCTCTCTCTCCCTCAAAATAAATAAATAAACATTTAAATACAATCCTTAGTAAGAGAAATGGTGAAATGTGATCTTATCACCTTAGATTTCAGGTTGAGATGCCAGGAAGACAAGAAGTAAAAGTTATTTTGAGAGACTGTATCATTCACAGAGAAATAAACTGTCATAAGAAGCTGATTCTGGGCTCATCAACAGAGAGAAACAAAAATAACCCTTCCTTACCTAAGATAAGCCTCCTTTTACTATTGATAAAAGTGTGTCAGGGAATTTAAAATATCTATTGCCTAAGATGCTTAAGAAACTTTAAAAAAACAAAACACTTGTGAACATGAAAAGCAAAAATATTAATTTCTACTTCAATTCTTGCTAATATTCATTTTACACACTTATAATTTGTTAAAATTATTTTGTTTCCTTGTTATTTCTTATCTCATTGTGACTTCTGCAATTCACAAAATATTTATGCTTCCAAATACTAGCATAATTCTATAAAGCATTTTAATATAAATATTATATTATTCATGTAGTCTGATCCTCAACAGTATTATTACATGTAAACAGGTTTTTCTGAGGGAGGAATGAGCCAGTACAGAGCGCTATAGGGTAAGGCAGCACTGCAATTTATTTTTTAACTCTTACTGCAATTTGAAATGGTAACAAAATTGTTTTTATGTTTTTGTGCATTTTATTTGGTAGTGCTTGTGATTTCTATTTCCTTATGGGTAAGTTTTGTTTTGTTTTGTTTTGTTTTTAACTATCACGACTACTTATTCAACAGATTGTGCCTGGTAACTTTATATATCTGTGTGTGTGCGTATGTGTTTGAGATCAAGCTTTTATCAGCTCTATTTGACATATATCCTGTCACTTACAGGTGTCATTACCCTATTATAATTTATCACAATTAGCTCCATTTTTATATATTTAAACATCCATTGGCGATATTTCCTTTGATGATACTTTTCTTAATAATACTGCACTTATTTCCTCATTCACACAGGCCTTTATCAAAACAGAAGTGTGGGCAACTCCATGTAACATGAGAAAGTCATCTACAGAGAAAAATAAACTGAAGTAACGTACTTTCCCACCATGGTTACAAATAATCCTGACGTCTCTAGGCTTAATTTGCCATTTTCTAGGGTGCATTTTGTCCAATGAAAATGAGTTAAAGCAAGTTTTTTTTAAATTGGAAATTTATAAATAAATATCCCTACTAATTTATATGTTTCTGTTTGTATTTATACTTGGTAATTCCTGTACTATTCCTTCCATTATAATGTATCTTTCAAAATTTACATGAAAATATATTTTAAAAATTATTTTTATACCAGGGTAATTTCAACTGCATAAACACTTCAGTGTACAACTTTTCAAGTGTGAGAACTTATAATTTTTTGATCATTAACCTTAATATTGGGACTCTATTTCACTGGCAACTACCCACCAGAACAAAATAGAGTATTCTCCATCTCTCTCTTTTTCTCTCCATCTCTCCCTCTCTAGATAGTCCTGGGGTAAACATTAACCATCTAGATCAGTTTTTTCGAAGTTTTTCCCCATGCATTTACCTACTTCAGATCACATGAGATGGTTATTAAAATGCAGATATGTGGGTCCAACAAACCTCGTGAATTAGTTTCTGTGGTGGAGCCTCAGGTATCTGAATTCATAACAAGTCCCCCTGGGGACTCTCATATACAATAAAAAGTGAAAACCAAGATTCTAGATATTTTCCTTCTCTAATCTCAATAACACCAAATATAGTAAGAGTTGTATTACCCAAATTAGAGGATATTTTTAAAATAAGAAATATTTAAGGATGAATTAGAAATTATTTTTCTACACCAATAATGAAGGTTGTTAAATATTCTGCCCCAAGATTTGAAATAAAGAAACTTAGTTCCTTTACCTATAATAATATACAAGTGAGCATGACTCGTTATGTGAGTTTCTTTAATTTGATATTTTAAACCACATACTGAAGGATAGCATACATATACAGCAGTACCCAAGGCCCAAGAGTAAGCTCAATACATTTTCAAAAGTGAGCATATCCATGTAATCAGCACACATATCAAAAAGAAAACGTAGTTGGAACACTTTCTCCCGCTATCAGTCACTGCCATCTCCCTTTCTGACTACTATAGACAGAATACCGCAGATTAGTTCAGGCTAAATTTGAATTTTATATACATTGATCATACATTATATGCTCTTCTTTTTCTGGCTCAGTTTCTTCAGTCTTATCTTTGTAAGATCCATCCATGTCATTGCCTCGTGCTATTCTTATCGCTATATAGCATACCATTTTATGAATATTCCACACTTTATCATAGATAGAAATTCCTGGACCAAGAATATGAGTATAAGTTTCCCAGCCAGTAATAGGTATGCTTAACTTCAGTCAATGATGTGCTGAATATTAAACAACTAGGTCTCTGGGGTGAGGGAAACAAGCAAACTCTGATTTGTGGCATTTGTCAACTTCTGTGGTGTAAATGTTATCACCTTTGTCAGTTTCAGTCAATCAGTGGTGGGTCTCACAAGCCAGTTAAGTCTGCTTCAGCATACCTTACAGATACCGCCAAAGTTTTCAAAGAAGTGCACAGCACTGTATGAAAATTTTGATTACTCTCACACTTGACAAGGGCTTTTACTGTTGTTTTGTTGTTCTGTTTGTTTTAGCAATTCTGGTGAGTATATAGTGATACTTATTACGGTTATAATTTGGATTTATCCAACAAAAGATATGTACAGCATTTTTCCATAAATTTATTGGTCATGTGGATATCCATTTCTGTGAAGTGCCATCCATTTATTGGAAATGTGCTATCAAATTTTTCTGTTGAGTTGTCTGCCTTTTCCTTACATTTCTGTATGAGTTTTTAAAATGTTAGCTATCTAAAATGAGAGTCTCTCTCATTCATCATAACTCTCCCGTACAGCTGGATATCTATTAGGGAATCCCACACTACTGGGCATAGACTTTGGGTTGCAGACAGACAGGGCCCACTGAGTCTTTTCAAAAGTGACTTTGCTGATCTTTAAAAGTGTAAATCAGAGCATAACGTTCTTCGCTTAAAAACCTTCTAACGACTTCTTTTTGAAGTTAGGATGAAAACGTTGCTTTCTACAACATACACTTCCCTACATTATCTGTCAGACTTTTGCCTACTTGGTGCCCTTACCTTCTACTGTCACTTCATCTCCTGGGCCTACCCCTAGAACATGCTGGGCTCCTTCCTGCCTCAGGGCCTCTGAACTCACTCCCTTTCCTGTGCCTGGAATGATCTCTCAAGTTTGCACATGGCTCTCTGCTTCTCATATCTGGTTCTCAACCAAAATACCCTCAGACAGGCCTTTCCTGACCACACACAGGCAACCTCCCTTCTTAGAAAGTTCCCCTTTTCATCA